GAGCTGAGCTGAGCGAGAACGTTGCCGTAGTAGTCGTGGTTGCCCGCACTGGTGGAGGGAATGGGGCAGGAAAAAGGGGGTGCGGGGGCGGGGGAAAACGGAGCAGTGTGAGCTGTGGTGAAGTGAGGTACGTGAGTGTGTTTGTGCATTGACACGTGAATGCATTAAAGATTGCTCGCACATGGAGTGAGGGCGTATTGCAACAAAAGCTCTCATGAACGCCACCGCTGCTGCACACAGTCCAGAAGAAGTGCGCAGTGCGTCCCTGTGTACGAGAGAGTGCGACAAAGAGTGAGAGGGGGGGAGGGAATGATCAGAGAGGGAGGGTGAGAAAGATTGGGAGGCGTACCTGCGTACCAGGGGACCTGCAGGCTGCGGTGCGTGTAGATGTTGGTGAAGGAGCGCGCAAACTTGTCATCGTTCACGTTTGTCAGCCCCTCGTCATAGAAGTTGTCCCCCACCGACACACAACTGAGGGACCATTTGTTGCCATTGCCCCACTGCACCCATCTGCACCGCACAGGGTAGAAGGAAGATGGGGCATTGCATAGCAAGGAAGGGTGTGCGGATGGCGTGTGGTCACAGCGTGAAGGACGATGAGAAAGGGCGTGCGTCGCACCTGCGTGCGATGAGCGACTGGTTGAACGTGCCGTTGCGACCCCAGTCGCCGAACGCGAAGAAGCGAACAGCCGCGCTTCTGCTGCTGCTATCTCGACGGCATCGTCAGCACGTGTCTCCAAGGCGGTTCGGCGCGGCGCGAGGAGGCAGAGCGCGCCGAGCAGAGCGACGCACCCGATGAATGCGGCGATCCTTGAAGCTGTAGCGATGCGACGCGCACCCGGGGAATGCGGCGATGAAGGGCTTCCGTCGCCGGGCGACACGTGTCTTGCGGGAGCAGAATCCTGAGGAGAGGCAAGGGGGATGGCAAAGAGGTGGATAGAAGGAGCGCAGGGGATACTAGGAAGAAGGCGGAAAGCAGCGCAGGGCAAGTAGCAAGATTGATGACTGTAATGCGCACAATATCTGCACATCACGGCGCATTCCCTTCGCGCTGCGCCGTACCTCGCGCGGCAGCAGCGGCGTGGTGACGTGGACCGATACATCGCCCGCCGTCTCCGCTCCTCCCGCCATTCCTACCGGTGCAGACTTCCGTCCCCCGTGGGTCCGTAGGGTGAACGTAGCCGGCAACTACGCGGCGCTGCTCGCGAGAGAAAGGCGAGCGAATTCGCAATGATGCTTTGAGATGGCGAGGAGCAGCGAGGAGATATGGAGGATGGCGGGTGGTCCGTCGGGTGGTGGGGGTGGTCGGTGGGTGCAGGTGCTCCGGCCTGGCCTTGGGATGTGTTGCGCGGGAATGATGCCGTGCTGCCTTGGGCTCGGTTCGGAAACACCTTTGTCGGAACAACCTAGGGAACGAATTGCCTCGGGAACTGGGCTACCTTGGGAACAAGTTTGCCCTTGAAACTGCTTTGCCTCGGGAACATTTCTGCCTTGGGGACTGGGCCACCCCAGGCCCAAGGGAATATACCTTCAATAACTACACTACTTGAGTCCGTTCTGCAATAGTTTTTGACACATAAGAGAAATCGTCCGTCAGCAATTACACCGATTTAGTACTGAGTGTGCACTCAGATTGCTTTCAGCATTTTCGGTCCGCGAACCTAGTAACGAGGAAGTGCCGTTTCGTCTTCTAACCGCCATCTGTTGTGCCTGTGATGCTCGCAAGAAGGCAGAACGAGACGTTTCGTCTCCTCGGTTTACCAACGACCTCCGCCGAGCTTTCATCGAGCGGATGTAAGAAGCTTTTGGGGAGCGAGCGCAGACCCAACAGCGGAACCGAGCGGTCAGGGTTGCGCGAACGCCTCGTCTCAGAAGTGAAGCGAAACGGCTCTGTTCATGTGGCTCCACCCCCCACGTGTTAGCGGTAGCTTGGCACAGCAGCCACGATGCTTGAAGCATTTACGGAGCTTGCAGTTAGGGAAGGCGAGGAGGTTTTCCGCGCTCAAGTTGCGCGCAACCACTCGCTCTGCTGACTTCGGGGGATGGCTAACCGCGCCGCAGCTCCGTAGGCGACCGTCGATCGCAAGCAAGCATCTGAGAGCAACAATTAACCACCCGTCACGCACACCCACCCACCCGAGGACTACTATTAGCTGCAGCATCGCTCGCACGCTTTTAGAGCGTACCAGACACTTGAGCTTGCGAGCTGCTATTTCTAACCTCCGCGCATCGCCCGCAAATGGCTCCGCTCACCCGCGCCACTGCGCTGCCCGCGCAACCACCCGCCGCATCACATCCAGACGATTCTTCCCGCCAACCCAGCGGCGGAGCGCAGCGGCATGCACACTGCCCCTCGATTCGTTCCGCTCGCAGCCCTCTCCGCGCGCCCCTTCCCCTCCCCCCTTGTCGGCGGATCCACGCCCGCCAAGCCCGGGGGGCCGTTGCGGCTGGTGCTGCCGGCGGGAATTGGACGAGCAGCGACCGCCAGCCGGGCGCAGGAGCATCCGGGGGAGCGGCAGGGGGAACAGCCGCGCGAGGAGGCGCTCAGGGGAGCCTCCCCAGCCAGCAGCGCGCGCCCACTTGTCTCCGCCACGTCGGGGGCACATGGCGCGGCTTCCAGGGGAACAAAAGCGCGGGGAGGGGCGGCGGAAATGGGTACCGGGGGAGAGAATGCGTGGGATCGCGGGGGAGCCGGCAAGGAGGGGGAGGCGGACAGCTGTGGCGAGGGGGCGGAGAGTATGGGGAAGGCTGGGAACGAGAGGAGAGGCGGCAGCAGCAGCGAGGCGAGCGGAGGGCTGACAGGGGAGCAGGATAGGGGGAGCAGGGGGGGCGAGGAAGCGGAGGAGGACGGGGAGAAGGAGCAGAGGAGGCGGAGTGGCGGAGGGCGGAGGGGAGCATCGGTGGTGAACAGGGGGGCGTGGACGGCGGAGGAGGATGAGCGGCTGGCGGCGCTGGTGGCGGTGCACGGGGCGAAAAACTGGAGCGTCATCGCTGCTGGTATCCCTGGCAGGCCGGGGAAGAGCTGCCGACTCAGGTGCGTCACACGGTGCAGTGCGGTGAGGTGGGGCGAGATGTGCTGGGATGAGTGGAAACAAGGGAGTGATTCTGTGTTGATCTGCTTCACCTTGATTGTAGTTCAGTTGCTCTTTACCTTTCCTGGCTCTGCACATCTTCTCTTTTCCGAGCCCATGCTGGGCACACACATCCCCCTCCATCTATCCATCCCTCCTTTCCTCCCTCACTCCATCACTCCCTCCCTCCCTTCATCCTTCCCTCCCTCCCCTCTCCCTCACATCACACCAGGTGGTGCAACCAGCTGGACCCGGCGTTGAGGCGAGGCCAGTTCACGGTGGAGGAGGATGCGCGCATCATCACAGCGCACGCCATCCACGGCAACAAGTGGGCCCTCATCGCCAAGAACCTTCCCGGACGGTGCGCACCTACTGCCTTCAGCACCGTTCACTTTGCCACCCGTTGTCCACTGCAATTCTCTCTCCTTCCTCCATCACTCCACATGCAACCCCTCCCTTCTACCACACAACAGCCTCTTATATATCCCCCCTTCCTCACACTCTCACCCCTCCTCTCCTGTCCCTCTTCCCCCCACCGTCCCCCCTCCACAGCACGGACAACGCCATAAAGAACTATTGGAACTCCGCCATGCGCCGCAAGTACCCTCTCCTGCGCGGCCTCTCCACGCCCCCTCAAGGCCCCCCACACTCCGCCCAGGCCCACTCCGCACAGTCCCACTCCGCCTCGCCCTCCCACCCTGCACCAGCGCAGCCCCAGCCCTCCCACGCGCCCGCCCTCCCCTCTGGCAACCAGCAGGGGGGAGAGGAGGGCGCGTACGAGCGGGCAGTGCGGTTTGTGGCGGGCGTGCAGGCGAGGGGCGTGGCGGCGCTGGTGGAGGAGGTGGAAAGAGTCAGGGAGGAGGGCGTGGGGCGCATCCGCAAGATCCTGGAAGGTTCGCCCCTGGGTGATGCGGCGCTGCTGCAGGCGGTGGAGAGGGAGTGGCGCGAGAGAGAGGCGCGCGGGCGAGGGGGGGAAGGGGGAGAGGGGGAGGGGGAAGGGGGAGACGAGGAAGGAATGGCGAGTGGGGAAGGGGAGGGGAAAGAAGGGGAGGGCGTGGGGGAGGCAGGAGAGGGAGCAAGGGCGAAGGATGGTCAAATTTTTGATGAGGACGCGGGAATTATGGAGAGGGAGGTGGGTGTAAGCGAGGGAGACGAGAGGGAAGAAGGAATGGCCGAGGAGAGCGAGGAGTGGGGGGATGGAGAGCAGCAGACGGTGCAGGGAGCAGGGGAATGGGAGACAGTGCAGGGGGAGGCGAGGGTAGGGGGGTGGAGGGCGAGTGAGGCGATAGAGGGGGGGAGAGGAGTGAAGCAGGAAGTAGAGGAGGGGGTGGATGGCATAGAAGATTATAGAGGGATGGAAGAGGAGGGTGGATTGTGTGCTCCGGAGCTACACGCCTCAACAGCATGTGCTCTCCCTCCGCCCCTGGCACAGTGTGACGTCGTGCCTTTTGCCAGCCAGACTGCCGCCAACATCAGCCATGCGACCCATGCGACGAGGGCGAGTGGTGGCAGTGACAGCACGCACGCTGGGGGCGTGCCTGTGGAGGCTCATGATGCGGATGACTTAGTTCCACACAGTGCGGGTGGGAGCAGCAGCAGGAAAAGGCGGTATGAGGCCTGCTGTGCGGATCATGTGGGCGCTCGTGCTGCCCACGGTGCTGCTGCTACTGGCGGTGGTGGTGGTGCTGCTGCCACGAGTCAGCACAGCGCCCTCACCTGCCACTTTGACCGCCGCCCTCGCTTCCGAGTGTCACCCACTGCCCTCCCTGTCACCTCGTCTGTGCCTGCACCCACTGCTGCTTCGCCTCCACTGCTGCCGCCTCCCACCCTTCCCACCACCACCCCTACTGTTACCACCTCCTCCCTCCCTCTCTCACACACCTCTCAAGGCGCCACCCAGCAGACACACACACCGTCACCATCACCATCCTCCCCACCACTCACTCCCTCTTGCCCTCCCTCCCTCACTCACCCCCCACCACCACCATTCCCTCGCCCCTCCACATCTCTCCTCGCGCTTTTCATTCGCCACTCTCCCCTCCGGCCTCTCCCACTCCTCTCTCCTCCCTGCCACCCACACTCCCTCCCTTCTCCAGCCCTCCCAACCATCCAATCCTCCCACACCCCTTACTGCCCAGCCACTCCCGCTTGACCGAGCCTCAGGTCCTGGTTCGGGTGAAAGCGGCCTGGTAGGTGCAGGACAGGCGGCAGCAAAACATGGTGGCGGTGGCATGAGGGGCGGTGGAGGAGGGGACGGGAGCATGAGGGGGGTGGGTTTGGGGGCATTTCAGCTGGGGAAGGTGTTTACTGCAGTGCAGGTGACAGGGGGCGATGAGAGCTTGTGCACGCACAGGGGGTGTGAGGCCGATGAACAGTGTAAGGCAGCCGCGAGACAAGGGGAGAGGCAGGGACAAGAATGGGAAAAGGAAGGAGGCTGTGCAGGAGAGAGAATTGAGATTTCGGAGGTTACGGAGGAGGAAAGCAGAGGGCAGCAGGGGATGGAAGTCTGTGGGTCAGAGAAAGAGAAGACCCTGTGCCCACACGGAATAGATAAAACCAACTCACAGCCCTTGCAGCACAGTCTGCACCCAGACACATGCCTTGTTGGTGCAGTCCCACAGCCAATGCAAGACTGCCACGTGGCAGGGCAGGGGCAGTGTGGGGCACGCGTGCGGCGGCACGTGCATCGAGTATTGGCGTCGGCATGTGGGGTGGCCCGGCTGCTGCTGGAGGAGCTGCAATGGCGGCACGGAATGGTGGAGGGGCGAGCCGACGAGGAGGACGTGGAGGAGCGGTGGGGAACGTAAGAGGAGAAGGTGGTGAGGGGCCACAGGTGGTAGATCCGGTGGGGGATGTGCGTTGTTGCAGTGATGAGCGGTGCTGCTCGGTGAGCAGTGGTGCTGAGGGTGCAGCTGAGGGCATGGCATGCCGGCATGTGCTGGATGCCATGTTGGCTGTGTGCTTCAGACTTGCTGCACCAGGTGGGGCTAGCGAGTGCAGCCATAGATGTGCTAGTGCACATGATGATGCGCGATTTTAGTTTGCACAAATCCATGCATGCTTTCTTGTAATCCTCTTGTACATCAAATTGCGCTTAGAAATGTGTTCCATCAAGCTGTTTGATGTAGAGCTATAATTATGTAAATACAACAATAGCTTGGATGTACAGCGCGCGTTAATCCGTTCGTTGTCGGGAACTGAGGGTTCTCAAAGGTACCACATGTGCTGCATGTTTCTCCACCATCAAGCGGCCATCCAACCGTCCTCGGTATAGTTTTCGTGCGCTTTTCCCACCACTCCACCAAGCCACACTCGAGTCGCACGGCTCTCCGAGTCTCTTCTCGCGTACCGATATTTTTTTTCTCGTTTCAGCCTAACTGCACGAGTGCTGCTCTCCGAGAATTATGACTGAAACATCTTGTGCTCTCCCGTCTCTCCTTGCGGCGGCGCAAGATGCCTTCGTAGCTGGGCCTTAGACTGCGCAATTGTCGCCGTAAACGCCGCCGAGAGTCCCGCTGCTGGGTGCGCGGCGCCATGGCGAGGGGCGAGGCGCGGAGAGGACCCGCGCGGGCCTCGGGGAAGCGACCGCACGCCGCCTCGTCGCGAGCAGCCTCGTCGCATAGCACGTCGCACGGCGCGTCGTCAGCGTCGCCACGATCGCCGTCACCACAATGGCACAGTAGGGGCCCCGCAAACGGCTTTCCCCCATGGGCGCGACGTGAGAGCGCGGGGAGCGCGTTCGCGGAGCGGGCGGCCCGATACTGCGCGGTCGCGTGGCGCGTGGCGGGGGCGGCAGCGCGGTTGGCGGCGGCGGCGGGCTTGTGGGCGGTGGTGGCGGCGGCGGCGTTCGTGATCCGCGGGTGCGTCTCGCTGGTGCCGCCGTCGCTGGGGTCGGCGGTGCTGCCGCTGGTGGGCGCGCTGGTGGGCATGGGGCGCACCCTCGGCTGGCTCGTGCTGCTGCCCTCCCTCGTACGCCCCCCCCTCGCCCGCCTCGTCGCCCACCCCCTCGCTCAACCCCTCGCACGCCCACTCCCTCCTCCATCCACCCTTGCCTCACGCATCCCCACTTGTGCTTGCCTTGCCACCATCCCCACTTGTGCTTGCCTTGCCACCATCCCCACTTGTGCTTGCCTTGCCACCATCCCCACTTGTGCTTGCCTTGCCACCATCCCCACTTGTGCTTGCCACCATCCCCACTTGTGCTTGCCTTGCCACCATCCCCACTTGTGCTTGCCTTGCCACCATCCCCACTTGTGCTTGCCTTGCCACCATCCCCACTTGTGCTTGCCTTGCCACCATCCCCACTTGTGCTTGCCTTGCCACCATCCCCACTTGTGCTTGCCTTGCCACCATCCCCACTTGTGCTTGCCTTGCCACCATCCCCACTTGTGCTTGCCTTGCCACCATCCCCACTTGTGCTTGCCACCATCCCCACTTGTGCTTGCCACCATCCCCCACGTGGCTCCTCCCCTCACGCCTCCTACCCCACCTGCTTTCCACCCACTTCTTCCCCCTCTTCCGCCACCCCACTTCTTCCCCCTCTTCCGCCACCCCACTTCTTCCCCCTCCTCCGCCACCCCATTTCTGCACCCTCCTCCCCCTCCCATCGGCTGCGGCGAGCAGGTGGTGCTGGTGCTGCTGTCATTCTTCCTGCCGCTGCTGCTCACACTCGCGCTGCTGGTGCTGCTGGCGCTCTTCACAGCACTGCGCGCCAAGCTGCTGCTCTTCGCCCTCGCCACCGCCCTCACAGCCGGTAGGTTGCACCCCGCCCTCACAGCAGGTCAGCGAGACACCTTGAGCGCTGCCGTCTGAGGTGGTTGTTGAGTATTCTTAAGCACCAACTGATTGGCTGGTCCTCTCTCCCCCACTCACACACACTCTTGCCTTGCCCGGCCCCCCACCCCACCCACACACGCACGTCTTGCCTGCCTCCCCTCGTTCCCGTTCTCCTGCCCACCAACTCCCCCAGCGCCACCTTTCTCCCCCCGGCCCACCCACCCTCCCACCCGCGCTCTTTCCCCCCTGCTCTCCCCCCCTTGCTCTCTACCCCCCGCTCTCCACCCCTGCGCATCCACCAGGGATAGTGGCAGCGAGCGGGTCCCCCCGTGCAGCGCTGCTGCTGCTGGTGGCGTCAACGGTGTACCACGTGGTGGTGCGCGCAGGGCTCACCACGCTGTGCCTCACGCTGCTCGCCTCCTTCCTGGCCTGCGACCTGCTGCTCCTCCTCGCCTCCTCCCTCCAAGATGACCCCGCCCAACCCGACTCGTCCCCCGCAAACCAGTCCCAAGCAAGCACTGCTGGGGGGGGGAGCCTGGGGTAGGGGTGGAGGGAGCGGTAGGGGAGGGGGAAGCGGGGTTGGCAGGGGGAGGGGGGGCCGGGGGAGAGGCGAGTGGGGGCGGGGAGATAGAGCGCATAGTGCGGTGCAGCAACCACTACGAGGTGCTTCGCCTGGCGCCCTTCTGTGCAGCTGTGGACGAGAGCGCCCTGAAGAAGGAGTACCGCCGCATGGTGGGGCCGGGGGGAGGGGTAGGGGCGGATGGGGAATGGGAGAGGGCGCATGGGGGGGAGGGTGACTTGGGATATGGAGGGGCTGGGGGGAAGGAGACGAGGCTGGGGAGGATAGGAGGCTGGGAAGTGGCTGGGAGGGAGTGGTGTGAAGAGCTTTATAGGAATTACGCGTGAGCTTGTAGTATGCGGTTTGCAGTTGCTGACTTACAGTGATGAGTTGTGTGCCTGTGCCTGTGCATGTGCATGTGCATGTGCATGTGCCTGTGCATGTGCCTGTGCATGTGCCTGTGCATGTGCCTGTGCCTGTGCATGTGCCTGTGCCTGAACATGTGCATGTGCATGTGACGTGCAGGCAATGCTAGTGCATCCGGACAAGCATGGGGGGGACGAGAAGAATGCCATAGTGGCTTTTCAACGCCTGCAGAGCGCATACGAGGTACACCATGTGCTTTCTTCATACATGACTCACTGACCACCACTCCATGCCACTGCATGTGCTCGTTGCCATCTCTTCCCTTTTCCTTTCGCTTGCCTGTCAACGCGGTTGTGTGTGTGTGTGTGTGTGTGTGTGTGTGTGTGTGTGTGTGCGCGCGCGCGCGCGTGCATGTGTGCATGTGTGTGTGTGGGGTGCTGGGCAGGTGTTATCAGACGAGGGGAGGCGGCGAGAATACGAGGGCGAGCTGAGGCGCGAGCAGCTCGTTGAGCTCATCACACGCCGGGCTGCACACATGTGGCAGGTGCGTGCTGACGTGGCAGGTCCGTGCTGACGTGGCAGGTCAGTGCGATATGGCAGTCCAGTGTAGTTTGGGCTGATGCCAAGTTGAGCTGAGCTGAGCGAGAACGTTGCCGTAGTAGTCGTGGTTGCCCAGCACTGGTGGAGGGAATGGGGCAGGAAAAAGGGGGTGCGGGGGCGGGGGAACGGAGCAGTGTGAGCTGTGGTGAAGTGAGGTACGTGAGTGTGTTTGTGCATTGACACGTGAATGCATTAAAGGATTGCTCGCACATGGAGTGATGGCGTATTGCAACAAAAGCTCTCATGAACGCCACCGCTGCTCACACAGGTCCAGAAGAAGTGCGCAGTGCGTCCCTTGTGTACGAGAGAGTGCGACAAAGAGTGAGAGGGGGGGAGGGAATGATCAAGAGAGGGAGGGTGAGAAAGATTGGGAGGCGTACCTGCGTACCAGGGGACCTGCAGGCTGCGGTGCGTGTAGATGTTGGTGAAGGAGCGCGCAAACTTGTCATCGTTCACGTTTGTCAGCCCCTCGTCATAGAAGTTGTCCCCCACCGACACCACAAACTGAGGGACCATTTGTTGCCCCACTGCACCCATCTGCACCGCACAGGGTAGAAGGAAAGATGGGTGCATTGCATAGCAAGGAAGGGGTGTGCGGATGGCGTGTGGTCACAGCGTGAAGGACGATGAGAAAGGGCGTGCGTCGCACCTGCTGTGCGATGAGCGACTGGTTGAACGTGCCGTTGCGACCCCAGTCGCCGAACGCGAAGAAGCGAACAGCCGCGCTTCTGCTGCTGCTAATCTCGACGGCATCGTCAGCACGTGTCTCCAAGGCGGTTCGGCGCGGCGCGAGGAGGCAGAGCGCGCCGAGCAGAGCGACGCACCCGATGAATGCGGCGATCCTTGAAGCTGTAGCGATGCGACGCGCACCCGGGGAATGCGGCGATGAAGGGCTTCCGTCGCCGGGCGACACGTGTCTTGCGGGAGCAGAATCCTGAGGAGAGGCAAGGGGGATGGCAAAGAGGTGGATAGAAGGGAGCGCAGGGGATACTAGGAAGAAGGCGGAAAGCAGCGCAGGGCAAGTAGCAAGATTGATGAACTGTAATGCGCACAATATCTGCACATCACGGCGCATTCCCCTTCGCGCTGCGCCGTACCTCGCGCGGCAGCAGCGGCGTGGTGACGTGGACCGATACATCGCCCGCCGTCTCCGCTCCTCCCGCCATTCCTACCGGTGCAGACTTCCGTCCCCCGTGGGTCCGTAGGGTGAACGTAGCCGGCAACTACGCGGCGCTGCTCGCGAGAGAAAGGCGAGCGAATTCGCAATGATGCTTTGAGAATGGCGAGGAGCAGCGAGGAGATATGGAGGATGGCGGGTGGTCCGTCGGGTGGTGGGGGTGGTCGGTGGGTGCAGGTGCTCCGGCCTGGCCTTGGGATGTGTTGCGCGGGAATGATGCCGTGCTGCCTTGGGCTCGGTTCGGAAACACCTTTGTCGGAACAACCTAGGGAACGAAATTGCCTCGGGAACTGGGCTACCTTGGGAACAAGTTTGCCCTTGAAACTGCTTTGCCTCGGGAACATTTCTGCCTTGGGGACTGGGCCACCCCAGGCCCAAGGGAATATACCTTCAATAACTACACTACTTGAGTCCGTTCTGCAATAGTTTTTGACACATAAGAGAAATCGTCCGTCAGCAATTTACACCGATTTAGTACTGAGTGTGCACTCAGATTGCTTTCAGCATTTTCGGTCCGCGAACCTAGTAACGAGGAAGTGCCGTTTCGTCTTCTAACCGCCATCTGTTGTGCCTGTGATGCTCGCAAGAAGGCAGAACGAGACGTTTCGTCTCCTCGGTTTACCAACGACCTCCGCCGAGCTTTCATCGAGCGGATGTAAGAAGCTTTTGGGGAGCGAGCGCAGACCCAACAGCGGAACCGAGCGGTCAGGGTTGCGCGAACGCCTCGTCTCAGAAGTGAAGCGAAACGGCTCTGTTCATGTGGCTCCACCCCCCACGTGTTAGCGGTAGCTTGGCACAGCAGCCACGATGCTTGAAGCATTTACGGAGCTTGCAGTTAGGGAAGGCGAGGAGGTTTTCCGCGCTCAAGTTGCGCGCAACCACTCGCTCTGCTGACTTCGGGGGGATGGCTAACCGCGCCGCAGCTCCGTAGGCGACCGTCGATCGCAAGCAAGCATCTGAGAGCAACAATTAACCACCCGTCACGCACACCCACCCGAGGACTACTATTAGCTGCAGCATCGCTCGCACGCTTTTAGAGCGTACCAGACACTTGAGCTTGCGAGCTGCTATTTCTAACCTCCGCGCATCGCCCGCAAATGGCTCCGCTCACCCGCGCCACTGCGCTGCCCGCGCAACCACCCGCCGCATCACATCCAGACGATTCTTCCGCCAACCCAGCGGCGGAGCGCAGCGGCATGCACACTGCCCCTCGATTCGTTCCGCTCGCAGCCCTCTCCGCGCGCCCCTTCCCCTCCCCCCTTGTCGGCGGATCCACGCCCGCCAAGCCCGGGGGGCCGTTGCGGCTGGTGCTGCCGGCGGGAATTGGACGAGCAGCGACCGCCAGCCGGGCGCAGGAGCATCCGGGGGAGCGGCAGGGGGAACAGCCGCGCGAGGAGGCGCTCAGGGGAGCCTCCCCAGCCAGCAGCGCGCGCCCACTTGTCTCCGCCACGTCGGGGGCACATGGCGCGGCTTCCAGGGGAACAAAAGCGCGGGGAGGGGCGGCGGAAATGGGTACCGGGGGAGAGAATGCGTGGGATCGCGGGGGAGCCGGCAAGGAGGGGGAGGCGGACAGCTGTGGCGAGGGGGCGGAGAGTATGGGGAAGGCTGGGAACGAGAGGAGAGGCGGCAGCAGCAGCGAGGCGAGCGGAGGGCTGACAGGGGAGCAGGATAGGGGGAGCAGGGGGGGCGAGGAAGCGGAGGAGGACGGGGAGAAGGAGCAGAGGAGGCGGAGTGGCGGAGGGCGGAGGGGAGCATCGGTGGTGAACAGGGGGGCGTGGACGGCGGAGGAGGATGAGCGGCTGGCGGCGCTGGTGGCGGTGCACGGGGCGAAAAACTGGAGCGTCATCGCTGCTGGTATCCCTGGCAGGCCGGGGAAGAGCTGCCGACTCAGGTGCGTCACACGGTGCAGTGCGGTGAGGTGGGGCGAGATGTGCTGGGATGAGTGGAAACAAGGGAGTGATTCTGTGTTGATCTGCTTCACCTTGATTGTAGTTCAGTTGCTCTTTACCTTTCCTGGCTCTGCACATCTTCTCTTTTCCGAGCCCATGCTGGGCACACACATCCCCCTCCATCTATCCATCCCTCCTTTCCTCCCTCACTCCATCACTCCCTCCCTCCCTTCATCCTTCCCTCCCTCCCCTCTCCCTCACATCACACCAGGTGGTGCAACCAGCTGGACCCGGCGTTGAGGCGAGGCCAGTTCACGGTGGAGGAGGATGCGCGCATCATCACAGCGCACGCCATCCACGGCAACAAGTGGGCCCTCATCGCCAAGAACCTTCCCGGACGGTGCGCACCTACTGCCTTCAGCACCGTTCACTTTGCCACCCGTTGTCCACTGCAATTCTCTCTCCTTCCTCCATCACTCCACATGCAACCCCTCCCTTCTACCACACAACAGCCTCTTATATATCCCCCCTTCCTCACACTCTCACCCCTCCTCTCCTGTCCCTCTTCCCCCCACCGTCCCCCCTCCACAGCACGGACAACGCCATAAAGAACTATTGGAACTCCGCCATGCGCCGCAAGTACCCTCTCCTGCGCGGCCTCTCCACGCCCCCTCAAGGCCCCCCACACTCCGCCCAGGCCCACTCCGCACAGTCCCACTCCGCCTCGCCCTCCCACCCTGCACCAGCGCAGCCCCAGCCCTCCCACGCGCCCGCCCTCCCCTCTGGCAACCAGCAGGGGGGAGAGGAGGGCGCGTACGAGCGGGCAGTGCGGTTTGTGGCGGGCGTGCAGGCGAGGGGCGTGGCGGCGCTGGTGGAGGAGGTGGAAAGAGTCAGGGAGGAGGGCGTGGGGCGCATCCGCAAGATCCTGGAAGGTTCGCCCCTGGGTGATGCGGCGCTGCTGCAGGCGGTGGAGAGGGAGTGGCGCGAGAGAGAGGCGCGCGGGCGAGGGGGGGAAGGGGGAGAGGGGGAGGGGGAAGGGGGAGACGAGGAAGGAATGGCGAGTGGGGAAGGGGAGGGGAAAGAAGGGGAGGGCGTGGGGGAGGCAGGAGAGGGAGCAAGGGCGAAGGATGGTCAAATTTTTGATGAGGACGCGGGAATTATGGAGAGGGAGGTGGGTGTAAGCGAGGGAGACGAGAGGGAAGAAGGAATGGCCGAGGAGAGCGAGGAGTGGGGGGATGGAGAGCAGCAGACGGTGCAGGGAGCAGGGGAATGGGAGACAGTGCAGGGGGAGGCGAGGGTAGGGGGGTGGAGGGCGAGTGAGGCGATAGAGGGGGGGAGAGGAGTGAAGCAGGAAGTAGAGGAGGGGGTGGATGGCATAGAAGATTATAGAGGGATGGAAGAGGAGGGTGGATTGTGTGCTCCGGAGCTACACGCCTCAACAGCATGTGCTCTCCCTCCGCCCCTGGCACAGTGTGACGTCGTGCCTTTTGCCAGCCAGACTGCCGCCAACATCAGCCATGCGACCCATGCGACGAGGGCGAGTGGTGGCAGTGACAGCACGCACGCTGGGGGCGTGCCTGTGGAGGCTCATGATGCGGATGACTTAGTTCCACACAGTGCGGGTGGGAGCAGCAGCAGGAAAAGGCGGTATGAGGCCTGCTGTGCGGATCATGTGGGCGCTCGTGCTGCCCACGGTGCTGCTGCTACTGGCGGTGGTGGTGGTGCTGCTGCCACGAGTCAGCACAGCGCCCTCACCTGCCACTTTGACCGCCGCCCTCGCTTCCGAGTGTCACCCACTGCCCTCCCTGTCACCTCGTCTGTGCCTGCACCCACTGCTGCTTCGCCTCCACTGCTGCCGCCTCCCACCCTTCCCACCACCACCCCTACTGTTACCACCTCCTCCCTCCCTCTCTCACACACCTCTCAAGGCGCCACCCAGCAGACACACACACCGTCACCATCACCATCCTCCCCACCACTCACTCCCTCTTGCCCTCCCTCCCTCACTCACCCCCACCACCACCATTCCCTCGCCCCTCCACATCTCTCCTCGCGCTTTTCATTCGCCACTCTCCCCTCCGGCCTCTCCCACTCCTCTCTCCTCCCTGCCACCCACACTCCCTCCCTTCTCCAGCCCTCCCAACCATCCAATCCTCCCACACCCCTTACTGCCCAGCCACTCCCGCTTGACCGAGCCTCAGGTCCTGGTTCGGGTGAAAGCGGCCTGGTAGGTGCAGGACAGGCGGCAGCAAAACATGGTGGCGGTGGCATGAGGGGCGGTGGAGGAGGGGACGGGAGCATGAGGGGGGTGGGTTTGGGGGCATTTCAGCTGGGGAAGGTGTTTACTGCAGTGCAGGTGACAGGGGGCGATGAGAGCTTGTGCACGCACAGGGGGTGTGAGGCCGATGAACAGTGTAAGGCAGCCGCGAGACAAGGGGAGAGGCAGGGACAAGAATGGGAAAAGGAAGGAGGCTGTGCAGGAGAGAGAATTGAGATTTCGGAGGTTACGGAGGAGGAAAGCAGAGGGCAGCAGGGGATGGAAGTCTGTGGGTCAGAGAAAGAGAAGACCCTGTGCCCACACGGAATAGATAAAACCAACTCACAGCCCTTGCAGCACAGTCTGCACCCAGACACATGCCTTGTTGGTGCAGTCCCACAGCCAATGCAAGACTGCCACGTGGCAGGGCAGGGGCAGTGTGGGGCACGCGTGCGGCGGCACGTGCATCGAGTATTGGCGTCGGCATGTGGGGTGGCCCGGCTGCTGCTGGAGGAGCTGCAATGGCGGCACGGAATGGTGGAGGGGCGAGCCGACGAGGAGGACGTGGAGGAGCGGTGGGGGAACGTAAGAGGAGAAGGTGGTGAGGGGCCACAGGTGGTAGATCCGGTGGGGGATGTGCGTTGTTGCAGTGATGAGCGGTGCTGCTCGGTGAGCAGTGGTGCTGAGGGTGCAGCTGAGGGCATGGCATGCCGGCATGTGCTGGATGCCATGTTGGCTGTGTGCTTCAGACTTGCTGCACCAGGTGGGGCTAGCGAGTGCAGCCATAGATGTGCTAGTGCACATGATGATGCGCGATTTTAGTTTGCACAAATCCATGCATGCTTTCTTGTAATCCTCTTGTACATCAAATTGCGCTTAGAAATGTGTTCCATCAAGCTGTTTGATGTAGAGCTATAATTATGTAAATACAACAATAGCTTGGATGTACAGCGCGCGTTAATCCGTTCGTTGTCGGGAACTGAGGGTTCTCAAAGGTACCACATGTGCTGCATGTTTCTCCACCATCAAGCGGCCATCCAACCGTCCTCGGTATAGTTTTCGTGCGCTTTTCCCACCACTCCACCAAGCCACACTCGAGTCGCACGGCTCTCCGAGTCTCTTCTCGCGTACCGATATTTTTTTTCTCGTTTCAGCCTAACTGCACGAGTGCTGCTCTCCGAGAATTATGACTGAAACATCTTGTGCTCTCCCGTCTCTCCTTGCGGCGGCGCAAGATGCCTTCGTAGCTGGGCCTTAGACTGCGCAATTGTCGCCGTAAACGCCGCCGAGAGTCCCGCTGCTGGGTGCGCGGCGCCATGGCGAGGGGCGAGGCGCGGAGAGGACCCGCGCGGGCCTCGGGGAAGCGACCGCACGCCGCCTCGTCGCGAGCAGCCTCGTCGCATAGCACGTCGCACGGCGCGTCGTCAGCGTCGCCACGATCGCCGTCACCACAATGGCACAGTAGGGGCCCCGCAAACGGCTTTCCCCCATGGGCGCGACGTGAGAGCGCGGGGAGCGCGTTCGCGGAGCGGGCGGCCCGATACTGCGCGGTCGCGTGGCGCGTGGCGGGGGCGGCAGCGCGGTTGGCGGCGGCGGCGGGCTTGTGGGCGGTGGTGGCGGCGGCGGCGTTCGTGATCCGCGGGTGCGTCTCGCTGGTGCCGCCGTCGCTGGGGTCGGCGGTGCTGCCGCTGGTGGGCGCGCTGGTGGGCATGGGGCGCACCCTCGGCTGGCTCGTGCTGCTGCCCTCCCTCGTACGCCCCCCCCTCGCCCGCCTCGTCGCCCACCCCCTCGCTCAACCCCTCGCACGCCCACTCCCTCCTCCATCCACCCTTGCCTCACGCATCCCCACTTGTGCTTGCCTTGCCACCATCCCCACTTGTGCTTGCCTTGCCACCATCCCCACTTGTGCTTGCCTTGCCACCATCCCCACTTGTGCTTGCCTTGCCACCATCCCCACTTGTGCTTGCCACCATCCCCACTTGTGCTTGCCTTGCCACCATCCCCACTTGTGCTTGCCTTGCCACCATCCCCACTTGTGCTTGCCTTGCCACCATCCCCACTTGTGCTTGCCTTGCCACCATCCCCACTTGTGCTTGCCTTGCCACCATCCCCACTTGTGCTTGCCTTGCCACCATCCCCACTTGTGCTTGCCTTGCCACCATCCCCACTTGTGCTTGCCTTGCCACCATCCCCACTTGTGCTTGCCTTGCCACCATCCCCACTTGTGCTTGCCACCATCCCCACTTGTGCTTGCCACCATCCCCCACGTGGCTCCTCCCCTCACGCCTCCTACCCCACCTGCTTTCCACCCACTTCTTCCCCCTCTTCCGCCACCCCACTTCTTCCCCCTCTTCCGCCACCCCACTTCTTCCCCCTCCTCCGCCACCCCATTTCTGCACCCTCCTCCCCCTCCCATCGGCTGCGGCGAGCAGGTGGTGCTGGTGCTGCTGTCATTCTTCCTGCCGCTGCTGCTCACACTCGCGCTGCTGGTGCTGCTGGCGCTCTTCACAGCACTGCGCGCCAAGCTGCTGCTCTTCGCCCTCGCCACCGCCCTCACAGCCGGTAGGTTGCACCCCGCCCTCACAGCAGGTCAGCGAGACACCTTGAGCGCTGCCGTCTGAGGTGGTTGTTGAGTATTCTTAAGCACCAACTGATTGGCTGGTCCTCTCTCCCCCACTCACACACACTCTTGCCTTGCCCGGCCCCCCACCCCACCCACACACGCACGTCTTGCCTGCCTCCCCTCGTTCCCGTTCTCCTGCCCACCAACTCCCCCAGCGCCACCTTTCTCCCCCCGGCCCACCCACCCTCCCACCCGCGCTCTTTCCCCCCTGCTCTCCCCCCCTTGCTCTCTACCCCCCGCTCTCCACCCCTGCGCATCCACCAGGGATAGTGGCAGCGAGCGGGTCCCCCCGTGCAGCGCTGCTGCTGCTGGTGGCGTCAACGGTGTACCACGTGGTGGTGCGCGCAGGGCTCACCACGCTGTGCCTCACGCTGCTCGCCTCCTTCCTGGCCTGCGACCTGCTGCTCCTCCTCGCCTCCTCCCTCCAAGATGACCCCGCCCAACCCGACTCGTCCCCCGCAAACCAGTCCCAAGCAAGCACTGCTGGGGGGGGGAGCCTGGGGTAGGGGTGGAGGGAGCGGTAGGGGAGGGGGAAGCGGGGTTGGCAGGGGGAGGGGGGGCCGGGGGAGAGGCGAGTGGGGGCGGGGAGATAGAGCGCATAGTGCGGTGCAGCAACCACTACGAGGTGCTTCGCCTGGCGCCCTTCTGTGCGGCTGTGGACGAGAGCGCCCTGAAGAAGGAGTACCGCCGCATGGTGGGGGCCGGGGGGAGGGGTAGGGGCGGATGGGGAATGGGAGAGGGCGCATGGGGGGGAGGGTGACTTGGGATATGGAGGGGCTGGGGGGAAGGAGACGAGGCTGGGGAGGATAGGAGGCTGGGAAGTGGCTGGGAGGGAGTGGTGTGAAGAGCTTTATAGGAATTACGCGTGAGCTTGTAGTATGCGGTTTGCAGTTGCTGACTTACAGTGATGAGTTGTGTGCCTGTGCCTGTGCATGTGCATGTGCATGTGCATGTGCCTGTGCATGTGCCTGTGCATGTGCCTGTGCATGTGCCTGTGCCTGTGCATGTGCCTGTGCCTGAACATGTGCATGTGCATGTGACGTGCAGGCAATGCTAGTGCATCCGGACAAGCATGGGGGGGACGAGAAGAATGCCATAGTGGCTTTTCAACGCCTGCAGAGCGCATACGAGGTACACCATGTGCTTTCTTCATACATGACTCACTGACCACCACTCCATGCCACTGCATGTGCTCGTTGCCATCTCTTCCCTTTTCCTTTCGCTTGCCTGTCAACGCGGTTGTGTGTGTGTGTGTGTGTGTGTGTGTGTGTGTGTGTGTGTGTGTGCGCGCGCGCGCGCGTGCATGTGTGCATGTGTGTGTGTGGGGTGCTGGGCAGGTGTTATCAGACGAGGGGAGGCGGCGAGAATACGAGGGCGAGCTGAGGCGCGAGCAGCTCGTTGAGCTCATCACACGCCGGGCTGCACACATGTGGCAGGTGCGTGCTGACGTGGCAGGTCCGTGCTGACGTGGCAGGTCAGTGCGATATGGCAGTCCAGTGTAGTTTGGGCTGATGCCAAGTTGAGCTGAGCTGAGCGAGAACGTTGCCGTAGTAGTCGTGGTTGCCCAGCACTGGTGGAGGGAATGGGGCAGGAAAAAGGGGGTGCGGGGGCGGGGGAACGGAGCAGTGTGAGCTGTGGTGAAGTGAGGTACGTGAGTGTGTTTGTGCATTGACACGTGAATGCATTAAAGGATTGCTCGCACATGGAGTGATGGCGTATTGCAACAAAAGCTCTCATGAACGCCACCGCTGCTCACACAGGTCCAGAAGAAGTGCGCAGTGCGTCCCTTGTGTACGAGAGAGTGCGACAAAGAGTGAGAGGGGGGGAGGGAATGATCAAGAGAGGGAGGGTGAGAAAGATTGGGAGGCGTACCTGCGTACCAGGGGACCTGCAGGCTGCGGTGCGTGTAGATGTTGGTGAAGGAGCGCGCAAACTTGTCATCGTTCACGTTTGTCAGCCCCTCGTCATAGAAGTTGTCCCCCACCGACACCACAAACTGAGGGACCATTTGTTGCCCCACTGCACCCATCTGCACCGCACAGGGTAGAAGGAAAGATGGGTGCATTGCATAGCAAGGAAGGGGTGTGCGGATGGCGTGTGGTCACAGCGTGAAGGACGATGAGAAAGGGCGTGCGTCGCACCTGCTGTGCGATGAGCGACTGGTTGAACGTGCCGTTGCGACCCCAGTCGCCGAACGCGAAGAAGCGAACAGCCGCGCTTCTGCTGCTGCTAATCTCGACGGCATCGTCAGCACGTGTCTCCAAGGCGGTTCGGCGCGGCGCGAGGAGGCAGAGCGCGCCGAGCAGAGCGACGCACCCGATGAATGCGGCGATCCTTGAAGCTGTAGCGATGCGACGCGCACCCGGGGAATGCGGCGATGAAGGGCTTCCGTCGCCGGGCGACACGTGTCTTGCGGGAGCAGAATCCTGAGGAGAGGCAAGGGGGATGGCAAAGAGGTGGATAGAAGGGAGCGCAGGGGATACTAGGAAGAAGGCGGAAAGCAGCGCAGGGCAAGTAGCAAGATTGATGAACTGTAATGCGCACAATATCTGCACATCACGGCGCATTCCCCTTCGCGCTGCGCCGTACCTCGCGCGGCAGCAGCGGCGTGGTGACGTGGACCGATACATCGCCCGCCGTCTCCGCTCCTCCCGCCATTCCTACCGGTGCAGACTTCCGTCCCCCGTGGGTCCGTAGGGTGAACGTAGCCGGCAACTACGCGGCGCTGCTCGCGAGAGAAAGGCGAGCGAATTCGCAATGATGCTTTGAGAATGGCGAGGAGCAGCGAGGAGATATGGAGGATGGCGGGTGGTCCGTCGGGTGGTGGGGGTGGTCGGTGGGTGCAGGTGCTCCGGCCTGGCCTTGGGATGTGTTGCGTGGGAATGATGCCGTGCTGCCTTGGGCTCGGTTCGGAAACACCTTTGTCGGAACAACCTAGGGAACGAAATTGCCTCGGGAACTGGGCTACCTTGGGAACAAGTTTGCCCTTGAAACTGCTTTGCCTCGGGAACATTTCTGCCTTGGGGACTGGGCCACCCCAGGCCCAAGGGAATATACCTTCAATAACTACACTACTTGAGTCCGTTCTGCAATAGTTTTTGACACATAAGAGAAATCGTCCGTCAGCAATTTACACCGATTTAGTACTGAGTGTGCACTCAGATTGCTTTCAGCATTTTCGGTCCGCGAACCTAGTAACGAGGAAGTGCCGTTTCGTCTTCTAACCGCCATCTGTTGTGCCTGTGATGCTCGCAAGAAGGCAGAACGAGACGTTTCGTCTCCTCGGTTTACCAACGACCTCCGCCGAGCTTTCATCGAGCGGATGTAAGAAGCTTTTGGGGAGCGAGCGCAGACCCAACAGCGGAACCGAGCGGTCAGGGTTGCGCGAACGCCTCGTCTCAGAAGTGAAGCGAAACGGCTCTGTTCATGTGGCTCCACCCCCCACGTGTTAGCGGTAGCTTGGCACAGCAGCCACGATGCTTGAAGCATTTACGGAGCTTGCAGTTAGGGAAGGCGAGGAGGTTTTCCGCGCTCAAGTTGCGCGCAACCACTCGCTCTGCTGACTTCGGGGGGATGGCTAACCGCGCCGCAGCTCCGTAGGCGACCGTCGATCGCAAGCAAGCATCTGAGAGCAACAATTAACCACCCGTCACGCACACCCACCCGAGGACTACTATTAGCTGCAGCATCGCTCGCACGCTTTTAGAGCGTACCAGACACTTGAGCTTGCGAGCTGCTATTTCTAACCTCCGCGCATCGCCCGCAAATGGCTCCGCTCACCCGCGCCACTGCGCTGCCCGCGCAACCACCCGCCGCATCACATCCAGACGATTCTTCCGCCAACCCAGCGGCGGAGCGCAGCGGCATGCACACTGCCCCTCGATTCGTTCCGCTCGCAGCCCTCTCCGCGCGCCCCTTCCCCTCCCCCCTTGTCGGCGGATCCACGCCCGCCAAGCCCGGGGGGCCGTTGCGGCTGGTGCTGCCGGCGGGAATTGGACGAGCAGCGACCGCCAGCCGGGCGCAGGAGCATCCGGGGGAGCGGCAGGGGGAACAGCCGCGCGAGGAGGCGCTCAGGGGAGCCTCCCCAGCCAGCAGCGCGCGCCCACTTGTCTCCGCCACGTCGGGGGCACATGGCGCGGCTTCCAGGGGAACAAAAGCGCGGGGAGGGGCGGCGGAAATGGGTACCGGGGGAGAGAATGCGTGGGATCGCGGGGGAGCCGGCAAGGAGGGGGAGGCGGACAGCTGTGGCGAGGGGGCGGAGAGTATGGGGAAGGCTGGGAACGAGAGGAGAGGCGGCAGCAGCAGCGAGGCGAGCGGAGGGCTGACAGGGGAGCAGGATAGGGGGAGCAGGGGGGGCGAGGAAGCGGAGGAGGACGGGGAGAAGGAGCAGAGGAGGCGGAGTGGCGGAGGGCGGAGGGGAGCATCGGTGGTGAACAGGGGGGCGTGGACGGCGGAGGAGGATGAGCGGCTGGCGGCGCTGGTGGCGGTGCACGGGGCGAAAAACTGGAGCGTCATCGCTGCTGGTATCCCTGGCAGGCCGGGGAAGAGCTGCCGACTCAGGTGCGTCACACGGTGCAGTGCGGTGAGGTGGGGCGAGATGTGCTGGGATGAGTGGAAACAAGGGAGTGATTCTGTGTTGATCTGCTTCACCTTGATTGTAGTTCAGTTGCTCTTTACCTTTCCTGGCTCTGCACATCTTCTCTTTTCCGAGCCCATGCTGGGCACACACATCCCCCTCCATCTATCCATCCCTCCTTTCCTCCCTCACTCCATCACTCCCTCCCTCCCTTCATCCTTCCCTCCCTCCCCTCTCCCTCACATCACACCAGGTGGTGCAACCAGCTGGACCCGGCGTTGAGGCGAGGCCAGTTCACGGTGGAGGAGGATGCGCGCATCATCACAGCGCACGCCATCCACGGCAACAAGTGGGCCCTCATCGCCAAGAACCTTCCCGGACGGTGCGCACCTACTGCCTTCAGCACCGTTCACTTTGCCACCCGTTGTCCACTGCAATTCTCTCTCCTTCCTCCATCACTCCACATGCAACCCCTCCCTTCTACCACACAACAGCCTCTTATATATCCCCCCTTCCTCACACTCTCACCCCTCCTCTCCTGTCCCTCTTCCCCCCACCGTCCCCCCTCCACAGCACGGACAACGCCATAAAGAACTATTGGAACTCCGCCATGCGCCGCAAGTACCCTCTCCTGCGCGGCCTCTCCACGCCCCCTCAAGGCCCCCCACACTCCGCCCAGGCCCACTCCGCACAGTCCCACTCCGCCTCGCCCTCCCACCCTGCACCAGCGCAGCCCCAGCCCTCCCACGCGCCCGCCCTCCCCTCTGGCAACCAGCAGGGGGGAGAGGAGGGCGCGTACGAGCGGGCAGTGCGGTTTGTGGCGGGCGTGCAGGCGAGGGGCGTGGCGGCGCTGGTGGAGGAGGTGGAAAGAGTCAGGGAGGAGGGCGTGGGGCGCATCCGCAAGATCCTGGAAGGTTCGCCCCTGGGTGATGCGGCGCTGCTGCAGGCGGTGGAGAGGGAGTGGCGCGAGAGAGAGGCGCGCGGGCGAGGGGGGGAAGGGGGAGAGGGGGAGGGGGAAGGGGGAGACGAGGAAGGAATGGCGAGTGGGGAAGGGGAGGGGAAAGAAGGGGAGGGCGTGGGGGAGGCAGGAGAGGGAGCAAGGGCGAAGGATGGTCAAATTTTTGATGAGGACGCGGGAATTATGGAGAGGGAGGTGGGTGTAAGCGAGGGAGACGAGAGGGAAGAAGGAATGGCCGAGGAGAGCGAGGAGTGGGGGGATGGAGAGCAGCAGACGGTGCAGGGAGCAGGGGAATGGGAGACAGTGCAGGGGGAGGCGAGGGTAGGGGGGTGGAGGGCGAGTGAGGCGATAGAGGGGGGGAGAGGAGTGAAGCAGGAAGTAGAGGAGGGGGTGGATGGCATAGAAGATTATAGAGGGATGGAAGAGGAGGGTGGATTGTGTGCTCCGGAGCTACACGCCTCAACAGCATGTGCTCTCCCTCCGCCCCTGGCACAGTGTGACGTCGTGCCTTTTGCCAGCCAGACTGCCGCCAACATCAGCCATGCGACCCATGCGACGAGGGCGAGTGGTGGCAGTGACAGCACGCACGCTGGGGGCGTGCCTGTGGAGGCTCATGATGCGGATGACTTAGTTCCACACAGTGCGGGTGGGAGCAGCAGCAGGAAAAGGCGGTATGAGGCCTGCTGTGCGGATCATGTGGGCGCTCGTGCTGCCCACGGTGCTGCTGCTACTGGCGGTGGTGGTGGTGCTGCTGCCACGAGTCAGCACAGCGCCCTCACCTGCCACTTTGACCGCCGCCCTCGCTTCCGAGTGTCACCCACTGCCCTCCCTGTCACCTCGTCTGTGCCTGCACCCACTGCTGCTTCGCCTCCACTGCTGCCGCCTCCCACCCTTCCCACCACCACCCCTACTGTTACCACCTCCTCCCTCCCTCTCTCACACACCTCTCAAGGCGCCACCCAGCAGACACACACACCGTCACCATCACCATCCTCCCCACCACTCACTCCCTCTTGCCCTCCCTCCCTCACTCACCCCCACCACCACCATTCCCTCGCCCCTCCACATCTCTCCTCGCGCTTTTCATTCGCCACTCTCCCCTCCGGCCTCTCCCACTCCTCTCTCCTCCCTGCCACCCACACTCCCTCCCTTCTCCAGCCCTCCCAACCATCCAATCCTCCCACACCCCTTACTGCCCAGCCACTCCCGCTTGACCGAGCCTCAGGTCCTGGTTCGGGTGAAAGCGGCCTGGTAGGTGCAGGACAGGCGGCAGCAAAACATGGTGGCGGTGGCATGAGGGGCGGTGGAGGAGGGGACGGGAGCATGAGGGGGGTGGGTTTGGGGGCATTTCAGCTGGGGAAGGTGTTTACTGCAGTGCAGGTGACAGGGGGCGATGAGAGCTTGTGCACGCACAGGGGGTGTGAGGCCGATGAACAGTGTAAGGCAGCCGCGAGACAAGGGGAGAGGCAGGGACAAGAATGGGAAAAGGAAGGAGGCTGTGCAGGAGAGAGAATTGAGATTTCGGAGGTTACGGAGGAGGAAAGCAGAGGGCAGCAGGGGATGGAAGTCTGTGGGTCAGAGAAAGAGAAGACCCTGTGCCCACACGGAATAGATAAAACCAACTCACAGCCCTTGCAGCACAGTCTGCACCCAGACACATGCCTTGTTGGTGCAGTCCCACAGCCAATGCAAGACTGCCACGTGGCAGGGCAGGGGCAGTGTGGGGCACGCGTGCGGCGGCACGTGCATCGAGTATTGGCGTCGGCATGTGGGGTGGCCCGGCTGCTGCTGGAGGAGCTGCAATGGCGGCACGGAATGGTGGAGGGGCGAGCCGACGAGGAGGACGTGGAGGAGCGGTGGGGGAACGTAAGAGGAGAAGGTGGTGAGGGGCCACAGGTGGTAGATCCGGTGGGGGATGTGCGTTGTTGCAGTGATGAGCGGTGCTGCTCGGTGAGCAGTGGTGCTGAGGGTGCAGCTGAGGGCATGGCATGCCGGCATGTGCTGGATGCCATGTTGGCTGTGTGCTTCAGACTTGCTGCACCAGGTGGGGCTAGCGAGTGCAGCCATAGATGTGCTAGTGCACATGATGATGCGCGATTTTAGTTTGCACAAATCCATGCATGCTTTCTTGTAATCCTCTTGTACATCAAATTGCGCTTAGAAATGTGTTCCATCAAGCTGTTTGATGTAGAGCTATAATTATGTAAATACAACAATAGCTTGGATGTACAGCGCGCGTTAATCCGTTCGTTGTCGGGAACTGAGGGTTCTCAAAGGTACCACATGTGCTGCATGTTTCTCCACCATCAAGCGGCCATCCAACCGTCCTCGGTATAGTTTTCGTGCGCTTTTCCCACCACTCCACCAAGCCACACTCGAGTCGCACGGCTCTCCGAGTCTCTTCTCGCGTACCGATATTTTTTTTCTCGTTTCAGCCTAACTGCACGAGTGCTGCTCTCCGAGAATTATGACTGAAACATCTTGTGCTCTCCCGTCTCTCCTTGCGGCGGCGCAAGATGCCTTCGTAGCTGGGCCTTAGACTGCGCAATTGTCGCCGTAAACGCCGCCGAGAGTCCCGCTGCTGGGTGCGCGGCGCCATGGCGAGGGGCGAGGCGCGGAGAGGACCCGCGCGGGCCTCGGGGAAGCGACCGCACGCCGCCTCGTCGCGAGCAGCCTCGTCGCATAGCACGTCGCACGGCGCGTCGTCAGCGTCGCCACGATCGCCGTCACCACAATGGCACAGTAGGGGCCCCGCAAACGGCTTTCCCCCATGGGCGCGACGTGAGAGCGCGGGGAGCGCGTTCGCGGAGCGGGCGGCCCGATACTGCGCGGTCGCGTGGCGCGTGGCGGGGGCGGCAGCGCGGTTGGCGGCGGCGGCGGGCTTGTGGGCGGTGGTGGCGGCGGCGGCGTTCGTGATCCGCGGGTGCGTCTCGCTGGTGCCGCCGTCGCTGGGGTCGGCGGTGCTGCCGCTGGTGGGCGCGCTGGTGGGCATGGGGCGCACCCTCGGCTGGCTCGTGCTGCTGCCCTCCCTCGTACGCCCCCCCCTCGCCCGCCTCGTCGCCCACCCCCTCGCTCAACCCCTCGCACGCCCACTCCCTCCTCCATCCACCCTTGCCTCACGCATCCCCACTTGTGCTTGCCTTGCCACCATCCCCACTTGTGCTTGCCTTGCCACCATCCCCACTTGTGCTTGCCTTGCCACCATCCCCACTTGTGCTTGCCTTGCCACCATCCCCACTTGTGCTTGCCACCATCCCCACTTGTGCTTGCCTTGCCACCATCCCCACTTGTGCTTGCCTTGCCACCATCCCCACTTGTGCTTGCCTTGCCACCATCCCCACTTGTGCTTGCCTTGCCACCATCCCCACTTGTGCTTGCCTTGCCACCATCCCCACTTGTGCTTGCCTTGCCACCATCCCCACTTGTGCTTGCCTTGCCACCATCCCCACTTGTGCTTGCCTTGCCACCATCCCCACTTGTGCTTGCCTTGCCACCATCCCCACTTGTGCTTGCCACCATCCCCCACGTGGCTCCTCCCCTCACGCCTCCTACCCCACCTGCTTTCCACCCACTTCTTCCCCCTCTTCCGCCACCCCACTTCTTCCCCCTCTTCCGCCACCCCACTTCTTCCCCCTCCTCCGCCACCCCATTTCTGCACCCTCCTCCCCCTCCCATCGGCTGCGGCGAGCAGGTGGTGCTGGTGCTGCTGTCATTCTTCCTGCCGCTGCTGCTCACACTCGCGCTGCTGGTGCTGCTGGCGCTCTTCACAGCACTGCGCGCCAAGCTGCTGCTCTTCGCCCTCGCCACCGCCCTCACAGCCGGTAGGTTGCACCCCGCCCTCACAGCAGGTCAGCGAGACACCTTGAGCGCTGCCGTCTGAGGTGGTTGTTGAGTATTCTTAAGCACCAACTGATTGGCTGGTCCTCTCTCCCCCACTCACACACACTCTTGCCTTGCCCGGCCCCCCACCCCACCCACACACGCACGTCTTGCCTGCCTCCCCTCGTTCCCGTTCTCCTGCCCACCAACTCCCCCAGCGCCACCTTTCTCCCCCCGGCCCACCCACCCTCCCACCCGCGCTCTTTCCCCCCTGCTCTCCCCCCCTTGCTCTCTACCCCCCGCTCTCCACCCCTGCGCATCCACCAGGGATAGTGGCAGCGAGCGGGTCCCCCCGTGCAGCGCTGCTGCTGCTGGTGGCGTCAACGGTGTACCACGTGGTGGTGCGCGCAGGGCTCACCACGCTGTGCCTCACGCTGCTCGCCTCCTTCCTGGCCTGCGACCTGCTGCTCCTCCTCGCCTCCTCCCTCCAAGATGACCCCGCCCAACCCGACTCGTCCCCCGCAAACCAGTCCCAAGCAAGCACTGCTGGGGGGGGGGAGCCTGGGGTAGGGGTGGAGGGAGCGGTAGGGGAGGGGGAAGCGGGGTTGGCAGGGGGAGGGGGGGCCGGGGGAGAGGCGAGTGGGGGCGGGGAGATAGAGCGCATAGTGCGGTGCAGCAACCACTACGAGGTGCTTCGCCTGGCGCCCTTCTGTGCGGCTGTGGACGAGAGCGCCCTGAAGAAGGAGTACCGCCGCATGGTGGGGGCCGGGGGGAGGGGTAGGGGCGGATGGGGAATGGGAGAGGGCGCATGGGGGGGAGGGTGACTTGGGATATGGAGGGGCTGGGGGGAAGGAGACGAGGCTGGGGAGGATAGGAGGCTGGGAAGTGGCTGGGAGGGAGTGGTGTGAAGAGCTTTATAGGAATTACGCGTGAGCTTGTAGTATGCGGTTTGCAGTTGCTGACTTACAGTGATGAGTTGTGTGCCTGTGCCTGTGCATGTGCATGTGCATGTGCATGTGCCTGTGCATGTGCCTGTGCATGTGCCTGTGCATGTGCCTGTGCCTGTGCATGTGCCTGTGCCTGAACATGTGCATGTGCATGTGACGTGCAGGCAATGCTAGTGCATCCGGACAAGCATGGGGGGGACGAGAAGAATGCCATAGTGGCTTTTCAACGCCTGCAGAGCGCATACGAGGTACACCATGTGCTTTCTTCATACATGACTCACTGACCACCACTCCATGCCACTGCATGTGCTCGTTGCCATCTCTTCCCTTTTCCTTTCGCTTGCCTGTCAACGCGGTTGTGTGTGTGTGTGTGTGTGTGTGTGTGTGTGTGTGTGTGTGTGTGTGTGTGCGCGCGCGCGCGCGTGCATGTGTGCATGTGTGTGTGTGGGGTGCTGGGCAGGTGTTATCAGACGAGGGGAGGCGGCGAGAATACGAGGGCGAGCTGAGGCGCGAGCAGCTCGTTGAGCTCATCACACGCCGGGCTGCACACATGTGGCAGGTGCGTGCTGACGTGGCAGGTCCGTGCTGACGTGGCAGGTCAGTGCGATATGGCAGTCCAGTGTAGTTTGGGCTGATGCCAAGTTAGCTTAGCGCTGGGGGTGCGGGTGGCCATGGAGTGGTAGGCAGATCAGAAATGATAGGAACGAGGGGGGGGGCTCATAGGGTGCTCTATGTATGGTGGTGGCAGGAGGCAAGGGAAGCAGGCGAGGAAGGTGTGGTGGCAGGCAGCGTAGTTGGCGGATGGATTTACCTCGCCCCTGCGTTTACTCAATACTGCGGCTTCTCCTCTCCCAAATTCCTTCCCCTCGCCCCCGATTTCCCCCTTCCCCCTCCCTCTCCCCTTCACCTGCCACAACCCCATGTGGTGTACAGACGAGCAGCACAACAACTGGCAGGGCGGCAGCAGGGGGCATGGGAGGGGCAGCAGGGAAAGGGGGAGGGGGGGTGGGGCAGGCAGGGGGGCCAGCAGGGGGCGAGGAGGAGGAGGGGGGGCGGCCAGTGGCATGCACAGAGTGTGGGATGGCGCATGTGTGGCGCCCCGTCAACCGCCCCTGCAGCCAAGCCCGCTGGTGCCAGGTGGGGTGCAGTGGGGTCCAGTGGGGTACACTGGGGTGGAGTGGGATGCAGTGGCAGGTGGGGGCATGTGTACTAGAAGCTATTGGTTATAGGTGGAGTGGAATTCGAGTTCTTCACTTATTTTCTTCATGGGAGAAAGACTATGTACCATGCTTTTGTGCAAGTGTAGGCGTCTGTGTGCGTGTATGCCTGTGTGCGTGTATGCCTGTGTGCGTGTATGCCTGTGTGCGTGTGTGCCTGTGTGCGTGTGTGCCTGTGTGCGTGTGTGCCTGTGTGTGTGTATGCCTGTGTGCGAGTATGCCTGTGTGTGTGTATGCCTGTGTGCCCGCGTGCATGGGTTCATGTGGCAGGAGTGTGAGAGGCACCACCCATGCAAGGAGGGGGATGGCTGGGTGGAACAACTTCCCCAGCCTGCCTTGTTTGGCATGCTCTCTCTTGTCAGTGCACATGCTGCCACACACTCTGCACTCACCAACCGACACAGCACTGCCAGCCACTCTTACAGCACTGCCAGCCACTCTTACAGCACTGCCACTCTCACAGCACTGCCACTCTCACAGCACTGCCACTCTCACAGCACTGCCACTCTCACAGCACTGCCACTCTCACAGCACTGCCACTCTCACAGCACTGCCACTCTCACAGCACTGCCACTCTCACAGCACTGCCACTCTCACAGCACTGCCACTCTCACAGCACTGCCACTCTCACAGCACTGCCACTCTCACAGCACTGCCACTCTCACAGCACTGCCACTCTCACAGCACTGCCACTCTCACAGCACTGCCACTCTCACAGCACTGCCACTCTCACAGCACTGCCACTCTCACAGCACTGCCACTCTCACACCATGCTTCTTCACTCACCTCCCCTCGTGCTTCCCCATTGCCACCGCCACCTGCCACCATCCCACGGCCACCTGCCATCATCCCACGGCCACCTGTCACAATGTCATCACCTGACTTCCTCCCTCCCCTGTGCTACCCCTGCCACATACACCCCCTGCCGTGCGAGCAGAAGGGCCCACAGCACTTTTACACGTGCACGGACGGACAGGTCTACCGCATCACTGACTGGGCGCGCTGCCAGGTGGGTACGGTGCTGCCAGGTGGGTTGCTCTGCTGCCAGGTGGGTTGCTCTGCTGCCAGGTGAGCTCTTGTTTTCTGCTCAATTTTCCTCTGCTCGCTCAGCCACCTGATTTTCGCTGCCTAACGCTGGACCTGCAAAGCTGGGGTGTGATCATGGAATGGTGACTTGCAGTTTGGAACACACTTAGCTCATCTAGAACGTCCCCAGCCCCCTCAGCTGTGCAGCAGCCAATGGTTTGGGAGTGATGTGCGTATCAAACATATAAGTGGTTCTCCTCTGTGCCCCGTGCGCTGTTGCTGCTGCCAGGGCATGCAGTGCCCGCCCAACACGCACAAGCCCTCCTTCCACTTCAAGCTCTCCCCTCACCCGCCCTCGCCGCCTGCGTCCTCCGCCTCGCCCAGGAGCCAGCGCCAGAGGGGCAGAGGGGGCAGGGGCAGCGCCCGGGGCAGGGAAGAGCGCGAGGAGGGGTGGGCAGCAGGCTTGGCAGGGGGCAGCAGCGGTGGCGGAGTGCGTGTGGAGCTTAGCGAGGAAGAGATGGTGACCCTCCTGGCCCGTGCTGTGAGCACTGGCGCCTTGAGCCCCACCCAGCTCTCAGATGCCCTCAGAACAGCGTCCCAATGTAGTGACAGGGGCCCACCCCCACGGCGGAAAGGCAGGAGGCAGAAGCCTTACTAAGCAGCAACTGGAAACATCACCAATCCAGTTGAAAGCAATCATATACCAGCTCATGTCCTTCACTCAAGGTAGAAGGTCCTATAAAGGTTTTGTATGGTGGATGTTTGTGTAGTGCGTTTGAATCAACCTGCAAAGCAAGACTGTGTTTTGGCTGTGCTAAGCATGCATGTGATGTGTAGCAAATCTAAGAGCGTACCGTATAGTTCCGGCTAGAAGACCCGCCAGTAAGAAAGTCTCCCGGGACTCTTGAACGGGTAGGGGGACTCTTATTGTGGCAGATATTGTTGTCAAATGTGGTAGCCTTTAGTGAGGTTTGTCTTAGGGAATATAAAAGTTAGGGTTAGCTACTTGTACCCCAACCAACATGAATGCATCATCAATTCCTCAGTTTGACATGGTATCACCTAGGTTCGGATCCTGTGGGATCCCGCTCCTCCCGTCCTCGTTCGTTTCTTCCGAGCCTGTCTCACTCGTTTCGCCCGTCTTTCCCGAGCCTAGTGTCGGCCCGATCTAGTCCCGTTCGTTCGTTACCGCTCGTTCTTCCTCCCGATCTAGCGTAGCCCGATCCAGTGTAGCCCGATCTAGCGTACCGCTGCCGGTCGCGCTGCGCTTTCCCCCCCGCTTCCCGTCGACCCGCGCTTCCCCCCGCTGCCCGTCGACCCGCGCTTCCCCCCCCCCCCCCCGCTGCCCGTCGAACCGCGCTTCCCCCCCCCCCCCCCCCGCTGCCCGTAGCACCGCGCTTCCCCCGGCTGCCCGTTGACCCGCGCTTCCCCCCGCTGCCCGTCGACCCGTGCTTCCTCCCGCTGCCCGTCGAACCGCGCCTCCCCCCCGCTGCCCGTCGCCCAGGCCCGCGCCCTAGCCCGTCGCCCTGGCCCGCGCCCTAGCCCGTCGCCCAGGCCCGCGCCCTAGCCCGTCGCCCAGGCCCGCGCCCCAGCCCGTCGCCCTGGCCCGCGCCCTAGCCCGTCGTCCTGGCTCGCGCCCTAGCCCGTCGCCCAGGCCCGCGCCCTAGCCCGTCGCCCTGGCTCGCGCCCTAGCCCGTCGCCCAGGCCCGCGCCCTAGCCCGTCGCCCAGGCCCGCGCCCCAGCCCGTCGCCCTAGCCAGCGCCCTAGCTCGTCGCCCAGGCCCGCGCCCTTGCCCGTTGCCCAGGCCCACGCCCCAGCTCGCGCCCTAGACCGTCGCCCTAGCCCGCGCCCCAGACCGCGCCCTAGCGCGTCGCCCTAGCCAGCGCCCTAGCCCGTCGCCCTGGCCCGTGCCCCACTTTCGTTTTCCACCGCTGCGTCCGCTCCCGTTGCCCGCCGCTTCGTCCGTTCGTTTTCGCTATGGCGACCCAGCGTGTTCTTCGTTTCGACGCTGACGGTAGACCTCTTGACTTTTCCGTCTGGCTTCTTCGCGCTCGCCGTCTGTTAGAGAGTCAGGTCCAGGCAGGCGAGACCCTCTGGGCGCACGCTGCTGGTGCCCTCCCTGCGCCCCCCGACCCTACGCCTTTAGGACCTGCCCCTGACGACGCCGCTAGAGCTCACTTTACCACCCAGCGAGCTGACCAGACGGCTTGGACGTCGCGTGACGCTGCGGCCTGCATCGCGCTCAGCAGCCTCCTCCCTGAGTCTGAGGAGGTTCACTTCACTGAGGTTTGCACCGCTGCTCAGTACCTCACTGCGATTAAGGCTCGCTACTCTGCTCCCGCTACTGTCTCTCTTGGCCGCCTTTTCCTCCCGTTCCTGTTCCCTGACCTTGCGTCTTTTGAGCGCTCTGCTGACTTGATCGCTCACCTCCGCTCGCTCGACGCTAGTTACCGCGCTGCTTGCACTGAGGCACAGCTTGCACTGCTTCCTCCCCCTATGGCGATTACTATCTATTTCATCGCCACTAGCCTCCCTGACCGCCTTGCCTCCGTTCGCGACGCGCTTCTGCTGAAGCACCCTAGTGAGCTCACCGTCGAGGTCCTTGAGTCTGCGCTCAAGGACGTCGAGAGCAACCTTCGCTCGGTAGCCGCTGCCTCTGGTGCTATGCTCCCCCCACTCTTCCACGGGTGCACAGTCCCGCAGTTACCCACCTTTACTGCCTCTCTTGCCACTGCCGCTACTGACGCGACTGCAGCTGCTGTTACGACTGCGTCGCGGTCCCGCGGTAGGGGTGGCAAGAAAGGCGGTTCTAGTGGTGGTAGTGGTGGTGGAGGCGGAGGTAGTGGAGGTGACGTTGCGCCTGGCGGCGGTGGGCGTGCAGGGCCTGGAGAGGCGTCTCGTGCAGCGACTGGTGACTCCACTGCGCCTGCTGGTGGTGGCGACGCCCGAGTTCGTCAGTCGCCTCCTGTACTTCCGGCCACGGGAGGTGGAGCAGCGGCGTGGTACCAGGCTCAGCGTCAGCAGCAGCTTCAGCAGCAGCGGCAGCCCCTCTCCTCCCAGCAGCCTCAGCAGCAGCAGCGGCCGCAGCTGGCTCCGGGGTCGGGGCTGCGTCAGACCCAGAGCGGTGCTGCTTACCCTCCCTGCACCTATCAGGTTCTGACAGGTGCTCGCCGGGGCCACCCTTGTGGCCGCTTTCACCCCCCTGGTCAGTGTTTTGCTCAGCTCACTGACACGGTTCGTTTGGTCTACGGGGTTGGTGCTCCTGCCCCTGACTGGCTTCCTCTTGTTCAGCGTTACGGCTCCGCTCTGTGGGGCATGTCTGCTGAGCAGTTAGTTGATCTGATTGGTGCTCCTCATGCTATGTATGCTGTTGTTGACTCTAGTGTTTCTGACTCTGTTTACTCTGGTGTTGTTAGCTTAGGTGCTAGCCTTGCTCCGTTGCCTGTTGCTAGTGTAGGTTCTTGTGTAGACTCTAGTCCAGCGGCTACCTCGGAGGACGGTTCGCTGTCGTTCACGCTGGACTCTGGAGCCTCACACTGCTTCTTTCGTGACAGCACGACACTTACACCACTTCCTGCGCCTGTTTCTGTGGCGCTGGCTGATCCCACTTCGGGACCAGTCACCGCGCGTCACACTACCACTTTGCCGTGTCCTGCTGCTCCTTCTGGGTCTCTCACTGGGTTTCACGTCCCCTCGTTCTCCCGGAACTTGGTGGGCGTGCGACCCCTCGTGAGTCAGCACGTGGGTGTGTGGTTTGAGCCTTCTGGAGAGACTGCGGTGTGTGTTGACGGGGACTCTTACCAGCCTCTGGCCACCTTTGCTGCTGAGCCGGGCTCAGGTCTCTACACTCTTCACACTGGCCCGAGTGCGCAGCAGCAGCCGCAGCAGCAGCAGCAGCAGCAGCAGCAGCAGCAGCAGCAGCAGCAGCAGCAGCAGCAGCAGCAGCAGCAGCAGCAGCAGCAGCAGCAGCAGCAGCAGCAGCAGCAGCAGCAGCAGCAGCAGCAGCAGCAGCAGCAGCAGCAGCAGCAGCCCCAGCAGCAGCAGCAGCCGCAGCAGCAGCCGCAGCGGCAGCCGCCCCTACTGCCACCGGTCCCTGTTTCGCCCCCCGTTCGAGTCCCCGCGTCTCACCAGGTTGCTCCGTCCCCCCAGGTAGCTGTGTCTTGTCAGGTTCCTACGTCTGGTCCAGTCGCTGCGTCGTGCTCCTGCCGGTCGCTTGCCCACCCCACCGTTTTGTGGCACCACCGGATGGGGCACCCTTCTCCTCCTCATCTGCGCGCGATGTCTCGTCAGCGTCTTGTCTTAGGTCTCCCGCGTGTCTTGCCGTCGCTGCCGCCGTCCCTTGCACCACCGTGCGGTCCTTGCGTCGAGGGTAGGCTGCGCGCCACCCCTCACTCCTCCTCCCTTCGTCCGGCCACCGAGCCTTTTGAGACGCTTCACTTGGACGTCTGGGGCCCCTCTCCTCGCCCTGGCCCTGAGCGTGAGCGTTTCTTTTTGGTGGTCGTTGACGACTACTCCCGCTACACCACAGTGTTCCCCCTGGCGAAGAAGTCTGAGGTGACTTCTACGCTGATCAGGTGGTTGCTTACCACGCAGGACACTCGTGGTCGTCGTGTCAGCTGTCTCCACTCCGACCGCGGGGGTGAGTTTCGCTCCGGCATTCTCGCTGGATTCTGTCGCGAGCAGGGCATTCGTCAGTCCTGGACGCTTCCAGAGTCCCCACAGCAGAATGGGGTTGCTGAGCGCCGCATAGGCTTGGTCATGGAGATCGCCCGCACCTCCCTGACTCACGCCCGTGCCCCCCATTTTCTGTGGCCCTACGCGGTCAGGTACGCCGCGCACCAGCTGAACCTCTGGCCACGCGTCTCTCGGCCAGAGGCTTCACCGACCAGTCTTTGGACCGGGTCCCCTGGTGTTGCGTCGAGGTTTCGTGTCTGGGGGTGCTTGGCTCTTGTCCGCGACACCTCCGCGGACAAGCTCTCGCCTCGCGCCGTTCCTTGTGTCTTCCTTGGTTTCCCTGAGGACTCCTCTGACTTCACCTTTTACCACCCTCCCTCTCACCGGTTCTTTGACTCCCGTGACGTCCGTTTCGAGGAGTCCACCCCCTACTACGTCAGGTACCCCAGTCGAGGTCTCCCGGTCCCTCCCCCCCCTCTCTTCCTGACCGCCGCTCCCCCGCCTGCTCCCCCGGTACAGCCTCCCCCCCCTGGTCCAGCCCCGTCCGGTGTGTCCCAGGCTACCCCTCCCCCTTCGGTAGCCCCTCCGGTACAGCCTCCCTCCCCACAGTCTTCCTCGCCGCGTCCTGCAGGTGCTCGCTCTAGAGAGGTTGGTACTGAGACTGTCCCTGTACCGGTTTCTGGTTCTGGGGGTGCTGGAGTTGGAGCTGAGCCGCGGGTTGCAGAGGACGCTTGTCTTCCGGGAGCTGGTGCTGGTCGTGCGGAGTCTGGGGGAGTTGACTTCTTTCAGACCTTCGCGCCCACCCCAAAGATGACTACTCTTCGGGTGTTACTGCACGTAGCAGCACAGAGAGACTACGAGTTACACTCTCTCGACTTCTCCACTGCTTTCCTTCAGGGCAGCCTACACGAGGAGGTCTGGCTGCGTCGTCCCTCTGCCTTCACTGGCACCTTCCCTCCTGGGACCCAGTGGAGGCTGAGGCGACTGGTCTACGGTCTTCGCCAGGCCCCTCGTGAGTGGCACGACACTCTGCGTTCTACCCTCTCTGACCTTGGGTTCCAGCCTTCTTCTGCTGACCCGTCGCTGTTCGTTCGTCGTGGCTCCACACCTTTCTTTGTTCTGGTCTACGTTGACGACCTCGTTTTCGCCACTGCTGACAGGGTTGCTTTGGCACACGTGAAGTCCGAACTGCAGAAGAGACACACCTGCACTGACCTTGGTGAGCTGCGCCACTACCTTGGCCTGCAGATCACCAGGGACAGAGCTGCTCGCACCATTACACTTTCACAGTCACACATGGTGCAGCAGGTCTTTCAGCGCTTCGGGCTTCAGCACTCCACAGTACAGCGCACACCTCTTGCTGTTGACCACAGACTCACTGGACCCTTTCCTGACGAGCCGTTTGAGCCTAGTGGTCCCTACGCAGAGCTTGTGGGTTGCCTCATGTACCTGATGACTTGTACTCGCCCGGACCTCGCCTTCCCTCTCAGTGTCCTGGCGCGCTTTGTTGCGCCAGGGAGACACCGCCCTGTTCACTGGACAGCAGCTGTGAGGGTGGCGAAGTACCTAGCGACGACATCAGGCGTGGGGCTAGTTCTTGGAGGACAGCAGTCTGTCGTACTTACTGGTCACTGTGACTCTTCTTACGCTGACGACGCTGAGACTCACAGGTCTACTCAGGGGTACTGTTTCAGCCTGGGTTCTGGAGCTGTTTCCTGGCGGTCCACGCGCTCCTCTTCGGTCTCGACCTCTACAGCTGAGGCTGAGATCTACGCTGGAGCCATGGCGGCACAGGAGCTGCGTTGGTTGACCTTCTTGCTCGCCGACCTTGGTGAGCGGCCGAGCTCTGCACCGACCTTGTTCACTGACAACAAGGCGTCGATTCTCCTTTGTCGAGAGCCGCGACTGGAGAGCAGAGTGAAGCACATTCACGTCAGGTACTTTCTTCTGCGAGAGTTGCAGAGACGTGGACAGGCTCGCTTCGAGTTTGTGGAGTCCAAGGCCAACACTGCAGACATCTTCACCAAGGCGCTTGCGCCTTGTGACCACCAGAGGTGCTGTGTGCAGTTAGGCCTTGTTGACACTGGTTCTCGTATTGCTTAGACTTGAGTGCACTGTTTACTTTGCTTGTACGCTTTCTATATATCTTTGTTATATCTTGGACTGGCCTTGTGGCCACTGGTGCTTGTGCTCAGAGAGTGTGGTGACGTTGTGATCCACCCTGAGCTTTGTTTCTTGGACTGGTCTTGTGACCGTACTCTTTTGATTCTGCTAGACACCCCTCACCTAGGCTATGGGGGTGTGTCAAATGTGGTAGCCTATAGTGAGGTTTGTCATAGGTAGTACAAAAGTTAGGGTTAGCTACTTGTACCCCAACCAACATGAATGCATCATCAATTCCTCAGTTTGACAATTGTGAGGACCCCCCCTTTGCCTCTAATAATCATAAGACCCCCTTTTTCTGTATACAGTAGTTATAATTGCTATTGTGCATCAGTTTTTACTGGGACAAATTCGAATTCTGACACACTTTTTGTGTCAGACTCGAATTCTGACACTTCACTTGTGTCAGACTCGAATTCTGACGCAGATCTGACGCGCCGCTCGTGCGAATTTAACTATAATAAAATAGAGGAAAGCACCTAGCCTAGGAAATCAAGCAATTCATGCATGCATAAAATAATCCTAAGCTAGCAATAGCGTAATAAGATAAAAGAAAGCATGCATAGCTGGCATAAGCCGTCGTACTCTCACACGTCCCCCCCTTAAAGCTGGGTGGCGTGAGATACACCCTGCTTGACAAGATAGTCCTTGAGAGCACGGCGTGCGTTGCCCATATCAACTTCTGCAACCCAACTGTCCTCAGTGGGGTCGTATCCTTTCCAGCGTATCAGGAACTCGAGGGTCTTGCCGCCGTGGCGCCGATGAGTGAGAACGCGCTCGATCTCGTACTCTGGTTCATCTTGCACAAGAACAGGTGGAGGTGGCGGTAGCTGCCGTCCCTGGAACTGTTGGTTGGGGTCCTTGTAGGGTTTCAGTAGCTGAACATGGAAAGCATTGTGAAGCTTCCACGTATCTGGTAAGCGCAAGCGGAATGTAACTGGTGTCACCTGTGCCTCCACGAGAAAAGGACCACAGAAGCGAGGCCGGAGTTTGGATGGTAGGTGAGACAGGTTCAAGTTGCGCGTGTCAAGAAGCACCTGATTTCCGACTGCTACTGAGTGATCTCGTCGCTGGCGATCGGCATACTGCTTCTGGGAGTTCTGCATCGTGGTGAGACGTCGCTAAGTCTTCTCCCATAGCTGCTGCATGGTGGTGACGAAGTCGTGTGCAGCTTGGACGTGTGCCGGTGTGGTCGGCTGCTGTGGTGTGAGTGAATCCCGTCCGTAACACAGGAAGAAAGGGGTTTTTCCTGTGGCCGCATGCGAGGCGTTGTTGTAAGCGAACTCTAGGGTTGGTAACTGTGTATCCCAGTGGCTGATGTCGTCTTTGCAAGCTGTACGCAGTAACTGTTCAACCACCTGGTTGAGTCGCTCCGTCTGTCCGTCAGTTTGGGGATGGTATGCTGAAGACATGGCAAGCTTGGTCCCCAGCAGTCCCATAAGCTCCTTCCAGAACTTACTTGTGAATTTTGGGTCTCTGTCTGAGATAAGTGTAGCGGGGATGCCGTGGATGGTGATGATGCGGTCGAAGAAGAGGCGAGCAGTTGCTTCAGCAGTGGCTGTGGCGTTGGTCGGAATGAAGTGACCCATTTTGGAGAACTTATCGATTACTACGAGGATGGAATCGTGTCCCCGTGAGGTCGAGGGAAGTCCTGTGATGAAGTCGAGGCTAACGACCTGCCATGGCTGCTCCGGTACGGGTAGAGGCTGCAGTAACCCTGCTTTTTTCTGCTTGCTACTCTTCATCCGCTGGCACATGTCGCATGAGGTGACGAACTGCTGCACGTCTGCTGCCATCCGGGGCCAGTAGTAATACTTCGCTATTCCCGCTAACGTCTTGTTGCTCCCGAAATGTCCCGCGTATGGTACGTCATGAAACTCCTCTAGAAGGATCTGCCGTAGCGGGGCGTAGTTCGGTACCCAAATCTTTCCTGAACCCTTCCTTACAGCTAAGTCTTTCTCCCACTGTAACAGCTTCTGTTTCTCTGCCGTTGCGATCTCGCCATCCACGGAGTACCCATGTTGGAATAGACCCTTGAGCAGAGGGTTCATCCCGTCGAGCTGGATGCCTGCTACATGACCGGGGCGGCTCAACGCGTCAGCTTTGTTGTGGAGCCTAGGTTTGTACACGATGTCGTAGTGAAAGTGAGTTTCCAAGAAATCCACCCACCGCACCTGTCGTCGTGAGAGCGTCGGCTGCGACTTCAGGTACTTAAGACTGCAGTGGTCAGTGTAGACTGTGGTCTTGGCTCCCTCTAGGTAACACCTCCACGCCTTGAAGGCTACGACTATAGCTAAGGCTTCCTTGTCGTGAATGGGGTAGTTCAGTTCTGCTCCGTGTAACTTCTTACTGAGGTAGGCGATAGGCTGTAAACCGTTCCCGTGATCCTGCATCAGTACTGCTCCGACTGCTTGGTCACTAGCGTCTGCTTCAACTACGTAGTCCTTGTCTGGATCCGGTAGGATGAGTACTGGCGCTGTGGTCAGTGCTGTCTGTAGCTGCTCCATGGCTTGCTGATGAGGAGCATCCCATTTGAAGGGCGTATCCTTTTTCAGTAGGTCTGTCAGTGGCGCTGCTATCTTAGCGTACTGCGGCACAAACCTGTTGTAGTAGTTGGCGAAGCCGAGGAACTGCTGTAACTCCTTCACGTTCTCCGGAACTTTCCACTTTTTAACGGCTTCGATCTTCCGCGGGTCCACGTGTACGCCCTCGGCACTCACCATGTGCCCGAGAAACTGCACCTTCTTCAGGGCGAAGTCGCTCTTCGACAGCTTCACGTAGAACTTATTTTTCCGCAGGATCTCGAACACCTTCCGCAGATGCTCCACGTGCTCCTTCATGTTCTTGGAGTAGATGAGGATATCGTCCAGGTACAGTACTACACATTCGTCCAGCAGGGGCCGGAGGATGTGGTTCATCTCTGCCTGGAACGTCGCGACGCGTTGCAGAGTCCGAACGGCATCACCAAGTATTCGTAGGAGCCGTATCTTGTACGGAACGCCGTCTTGTGGATCGAGTTGTCCGCCATCTTGATCTGCCAGTAACCCGACCGTAGGTCCAGCTTCGAGAAAACTGTTGCACCACGCAGTTGGTCCAGTAAGTCGTCGATGCGCGGTATGGGGTATTGGTCGATGCACATCCGTAGACTGCCATCTGGCTTTGGGGTGAAGAGAACTGGTGCACCGTGTCAGAATCCCAGCCACTAACCACTGGGATAAAAGGGCTTGTTTGTATGGCGGGTGAGTGCGCCCATAACCCCCCAGGCCGACGTGCCTGTAACCCTTCCCTAGGATCATCGGGGATCTCCAGTGGACCTCTGACACCCCCCTGCACTGGGATGCCCGAAGTGCACACACCGGGAATCGAACCCGAGACCTTCGCTCTGATAACATGTCAGAATCCCAGCCACTAACCACTGGGATAAAAGGGCTTGTTTGTATGGCGGGTGAGTGCGCCCATAACCCCCCAGGCCGACGTGCCTGTAACCCTTCCCTAGGATCATCGGGGATCTCCAGTGGACCTCTGACACACCGTAGGGAGATGTGGATGGGCGGATCAGTTGTCTGTCCAGTAAATATTCGATCTGTTTTTTCATGTCTGTCTGCTCGGTCGGACTCAGTCGGTATGGTGCACGTGAGACGGGTTTTGCACCTGGTTCCTCCACGATCTCGTGCTCGTGGGTGCGTGCTGGAGGTACGCCTGCAGGTAGGTCGTCGGGCATTATGTCCTTGTACTGCTCCAAGACCTCCTTCACTGCTGCAGGTAGCTCGGAACTCGGCTTCTCCTCCTCTGCTGCTGCCATGACCAGTGCTAAGTAACCCGTGTTGCTCTCGTTTACCGTCTGTTCGAACCGTGCCAGTGTCGTTTCAGGAATGTCCCCTGTATCCGTCCAGCTTCGCAGTGCTATCCGCTTCCCGTTGTTGTAGATGCACACTTTGCTGTTGACCCAATCTATCTCGGGGTTGAACCGCTTCAGGAAATCTCGCCCCAAGATGAAATCTAGTCCCTTGATATTGGTGATCGGCAACGTCGGCTTCCACCTTAGCGCCCCTATGTGCAGCTGCAGTGATGCTTCGCCGTGGATGGGAAGCTTCGTACCGTCCACCATTGTTGCAGAGAATTGGGTCTCCTCCGCTTTTTCTCCAATTTTCCCCAATGTTCCGCGGTCACACACCGAGTGAGATGCACCGCTGTCCACCAGTGCCTGGAGGCGTCGCCCATTGCATAACACCTCGAGGAGTAGTGGTTTCTGCTGCGCTGAGTAGCCAAAGAGGGTCTCATTAATAGGATCATAGGGTACATCAAAATGAATACCTTCCCTATTTCCTATACCTGACTCAGCACTTTCCAACTTCACCTGGGGGGTAGGAGGATTTTTCCGAGGCTTGTATAATTTCTCCTGAGCCTGGATGTCCCCTCTAAGCCTTTGCAGCTGTGTAGGCTTCACCTGTGGGCAACGGGGAGCCTTAACACTATGCTGTGGGGAGAGAATATTAACTCCACGGAACGCACGACCCTTTTCTACGCTCCGTAGTACTTTGCCCAACTTCTCAGGTACCTGAATGAGTTCTAAAGGCTTTTTCTTGGCCTCTAAACCTCCCCTGAATTTTTCAAAGGCTTGAAAACCACGAGAAGCAATGTTTTTCGTTAGAGTATCTTTATAGGATACTTTTAACGAATTCTTACTTTCGTGGGTGTTCGGCTGGAGTTTCCCGGTCGGTGCAGAGTCTTTTTTCGCGGAGCCTCCATTCGCCTCGGCGATTTCCCCTGATGCCGGCCGGTCGTGACGTTTTAAATTCGCGCCATCATTTTCTCCTTTTTTCACCCGCTCCGAAGTCGCCACGTCGTCGCCTTTTTCTCCTTTTTGGATCTTTACGCGATCGCCAGGTCGATCCGCGGCTACTGGCGATTGCCGTTTTTTGACTTCGAGGGTGCTCCACTGTTACCGTCCTGGAGTGCCGCACGTGCCTTCTTCATTTTGTAGCACGACAAAAACTGATGCCCTGCTGCGCCGCAAAACTCGCATTTTGTCGGCTGCTGCTTCGCGTCGTATTTGTCGATGTCCATCGGTTCGGCGAACGTGGGGGGTGCCGATCGCTCCGTGCCGAATGTACGGTTCGGCGCGAAACGTCGTGTTTCGGGTTGACCTCGAGTCAACGCGTCTCATCGTTCGGCAGCACACACGATGTCGCGATAGCTGTTGTAATTCGCCGCAATCACCTGCCGCCGAATCTCTAATTTTAACCCTTCTGTGTACGCCTGGATTTTTTCGCCTTCGGTCAGGTCGGTGATGCGGTTGAACAGTAGCTCCATCTGCTGCGTGTACTGTGCTACACTACTGTATTGCTTGTGTCGATGTATTTGCTGCCGCGCCATGTAGGTCGTGTTAATCGGTTCGAAACGTTCGATTAAGTCTGCCCGAAACTGCGCCCACGATTTCTCCCCGCGGGCCACGTCAGTGTAGTAAATCCACTCCAGTGCCGGTCCACGTAACAGTGTCGCTGCGAGCCGAATCCTTGCTGCGTCGTGTGTCGGGGTCGAACAGCCAATGGCCTCGAAGTAAATTTCGAGGGTTGCCACGAATCGCCGGACGTCGGATCCCTTCGCGCTGGGATCGAACGCTTCAGGGAGCCTCGGTCGTGCTGCTTCGAGGTTCGGCGACAGTGGTGCCATCGGACCGTGAAATGTCGGTGTCGCCACTGCTGCTGGTGTTGTCGCTGCTACGTTCGCTGCTGCCGTCGCTGCTGCTGCGGTGGCGATTCCTGGTTGGTGTGTCAGAAGGGCCTCGAGTCGTCGTAGCGCCGCCTGCGTCTGCTCCATGTCGGTGCGGAGGCTCGCGATGTCGCTCGTGGTCGCATAGTTGTCGCCTTGGCCCTCCATGCCTGACATTGCGCGTCCGAAAAAACCGAAACGAGGGGGAGCGAAAAACACGGAACCGGTTTTACGTACCCGAAATCGATGTTTAACTGCGTCGCCCCCGCGGTTTTTGAAAACTTGGTTTTAGCGGTCGAAATTTTTTTCGCGTGTAAACGGGCTCTCATTACGTAGTGTGAGGATCTAGGATCGAGCTCAGAAAAGATAGTTTGAATTGAATGATCACCTGGGTACAACACGAGGCTATATATAGGCTCGACACAAGGGGCAGTAACCAGGTGTTACGCGAAGGTTCTGGGGGTCGCGAAGCGTCCCGAACAGACCCTTCCCGAATTCGGTAGAAGGCAATTCGGTGGCAACCGAATAGCTCAGAATTCGGTGTACGCAACCTAGCTCGGTGCTATAACTATAATAAAATATAGGAAAGCACCTAGCCTAGGAAATCAAGCAATTCATGCATGCATAAAATAATCCTAAGCTAGCAATAGCGTAATAAGATAAAAGAAAGCATGCATAGCTGGCATAAGCCGTCGTACTCTCACACCGCCGACACATTGCTGCATTTGCGTGCTGCAGTAGATCTGCCACACGTGGTTTGCTGATGTGGCTCGCTTTAAAGGTTCCGCGCGCACATTTTTTCCCGCGTGCGTTTTTTCTCGTGCGCATGTTTTTTCTCGCGCAATACAAGTACTACATTTCGGATTTAAAACGAATGTCTCGGGTTTTTCAATCTTGATATGAGGTTGGCCTGATATGTGAGTGCAAAATTGCAAGAACAAGTGCCTAGCGTGTGCAAAATTGCAAGAAAAACTGCCTAGTGAGTGCAAAATTGCAAGAACAAGTGCCTAATGAGTGTAAAATTGCAAGAACAAGTGCATAGCGTGTGAAAAATTGCAAGAACAAGTGCCTAGCGTGTGCAAAATTGCAAGAACAAGTGCCTAGCGTGTGCAAAATTGCAAGAACAAGTGCCTAGCGTGTGCAAAATTGCAAAAACAAATGCATAGCGTGTGCAAAATTGCAAGAACAAGGGCCCGCCTGGTGAGTGCAAAATTGCAAGAACAAGTGCCTTGCGTGTTCAAAATTGCAAGAACAAGTGCCTAGCGTGTGCAAAATGACAAAAACAAGTGCCTAGCGTGTGCAAAATTGCAAGAAAAAGTGCCTAGTGTGTGCAAAATTGCAAGAACAAGGGCCTAGCGTGTGCAAAATTGCAAGAATAAGTGCTCAGCGTGTGCAAAATTGCAAGAACAAGTGCATAGTGTGTGCAAAATTGTGAGAATAAGTGCCTAGCGTGTGCAAAAACGCAAGAACAAGTGCATAGCGTGTGCGAAATCGCAAGAACAAGTGCCTAGTGTGTGCAAAATTGCGAAAATAAGTGTTTAGCGTGTGCCAAATTGCAAGAACAAGTGTCTAGTGAGTTCCAAATTGCAAGAACAAGTGCCTAGCGTGTGCAAAATTGCAAGAACAAGTGCCTAGCGTGTGCAAAATTGCAAGAACAAGTGTCTAGTGAGTTCAAATTTGCAAAAACAAGTGTCTAGTGAGTTCAAAATTGCAAGAACAACTGCCTAGCGTGTGAAAAATTGCAAGAACAAGTCCATAGCGTGTGCAAAATTGCAAAAACAAGGGCCTAGCGTGTGCAAAATTGCAAGAAAAAGTGCCTGGTGAGTGCAAAATTGCAAGAACAAGTGCCTAGCGTGTGCAAAATTGCAAGAACAAGTGTCTAGCGAGTGCAAAATTGCAAGAACAAGTGCCTAGCATGTACAAAATTGCAAGAACAAGTGCATAGCCTGTGCAAAGTTGCAAGAACAAGTGTTTGGTGAGTTCAAAATTGCAAGAACAAGTGCTTAGCGTGTGCAAAATTGCAAGAACAAGTGCCTAGCGTGTGCAAAATTGCAAAAACAAGGGCCTAGCGTGTGCAAAATTGCAAGAACAAGTGCCTGGTGAGTGCAAAATTGCAAGAACAAGTGCCTAGCGTGTGCAAAATTGCAAGAACAAGTGCCTAGCGTGTGCAAAATTGCAAGAACAAGTGCCTAGCGTGTGTGAAATTGCAAGAACAAGTGTCTAGTGAGTTCAAAATTGCAAGAACAAGTGCCTAGAGTATGCAAAAATGCAAGAGCAAGTGCATAGCGTGTGCGAAATTGCAAGAACAAGTGCCTAGTGTGTGCAAAATTGCGAAAATAAGTGCCTAGCGTGTGCAAAATTGCAAGAACAAGTGTCTAGTGAGTTCAAAATTGCAAGAACAAGTGCCTAACGTATGCAAATTGCAAGAACAAGTGCCTAGC